TGAAGTTAATATTTTCTCAAAATTTCTGTATAATATCACGACTTATATATTGCAATAGCATTTCACACGAAAATACAGTTAAAAACTTATTCTATCTGGAAATTATTGGAACTACGAATTCCTGGACGCGTTTGATTAACACATTCTTGCACTTTCACAAATTTTATCTTTATCCTTAATATTTAAGAAAAGAAGCGATTTTGTTTTGTATTAATGAAAAACATTACATCTATAATCCAGAAAATTCAGAGTAGAAATGTGCGAAAGCAAACCCCTCACTAATATCATCAGCCCGTGCTCAGTGTTGTGTACAGAGTTTAACAAATTGAATACACCCGTGAAACGTAAACTGTTTCTGTAAACAGGGCACAAGCTCTGTTATTGTTAATGTTAACAATTCACTGGGTGTGTTCAATTGTTAAAGTCTGCACACACCACTGAGCACGGACTGACAATACTGTGAGTGGGTTTTGCTTTCGAACATTTCTACTCTGAATTTTCTGGATTATAGTTTTAATACTTTTCATTAATACACAACAAAACTGCCACTTTTCTTCAATATTAAGAATAAAATTAAAAATTGTGAAAGTGCAAGGATGTGTCAATCAAACACGTCCAGAAATTTGAATTTTCAATAACTTTGAGATGAAATAAGATTTTTATTATATTTTAGTATGAAATGCTATAGCAACATATAAGTCATGATATTATACAGAAAATCTGAGAAAATGTTAACTTCAAATCTGTGTCCAAGCACCTTTAAGGGCTAGTTGAGTGGTCCATTCAGCAGACTTATCCTTCATCAATTAGCTTAGCTACTACAATCTAAATTGTCTCTTATTTGATGCTGAGAAAAATTTAGAAACATTTTAATTGGAATAGGACTAGAAGTGATATGATTCTTTTTCTTATTTTTATTTCTGGGGGAAAGGAGAGGGGGCATAAATTTTATGTTAAACTTCTTTATAACTCCCAAGCCTGCTTTATGTAACTATGTTTGATCTCTTATGAGTTGAGTCATGCAACACTTATTCCACAAATATAAGGTTACCTCTCATGCCTGGTGGGGGTCCACCACGCATCATTCCACCTCTCATTCCTCCCATCATTGGGGGGCGACCTACAAAACAAAATCACATTTCACAATCCTCAGACATAACATCAGAATCAGCCCAAAGTCTTGATCATCTAGACGCTTGTCTTTATTCTCAATAGAGTCGAAGCGTCTTGATGATCAAGAATACAGCCCAATCAAAAACAAAATTTTAAAAGTGAAAAGCATTATTTATGGGTACATCATTTACAATAGGAAAAGGGGAATAACTCTTTTTTCATTACAGTGAATTTTAATTCCAAATCTTAGTGTAATTTTCTCTTGAATAGAGAGGAAGTAAAATAAACTCTGTGGATTGACCTTTTTAGATGCATTTGGGCATTAATCCCAACAGAAAGTTTATTACAGATATTTAAGCCTGTTTTGGAGTGTGTGTTACAGGAAAGTAGAAATTCATTTCCTTCCCTCATCAATAATAATATAGAAGTTTTCTTTAGGTTATCAGTGTCTTCATGTATTTCATGAGGAGTACAATCTTCAGGTGACATGTCCACTTATGTTGGACATTCTTCAGGCCATTTTATCTAAGAATCATATTAATCAACATTGTCAAAATCTCAACAATCAGTTTTTGTATGTCTCCACATAATGGGACCATTTGATTGCATACCTCTCTAGAGACCCTTGACAAAAGTTGGTGTCAGTTTGATTTTCGTCATTGTCATGTATTTGGAACCAATCGGATACAGTTCATTCATTCACAAATTCATGTGATAAAGATTGAATGAACTGGATGCGATTGGTTCTAAATACTTGACAATGATGAAAATCAAACTGACATGCTATAAAACTTTTAATGATAACTTCACTTATTTCCGACATAAAATCTAGACTTGCACCAAAAAAAGTGACTGATAGGACTACATTATTGAAGTAAACATTTCATATGTTTCTACATAAATAAAGTCACAAAATTTGAACCCACCTCCTGGGGCCATCATTTGTTGTGAGGGTCCACCAACTCCACGGGCAGGTCCTTGTAAACCTGGACCACCAGAGGCTCCTGGTCCCGAGATTCCTCTGCCAGCAGCTCGACCCATTCCTTGTCCAGGGGCAGCTCCAGCTAATGGCACTCTAGCAACTCCCTCCTGTAAAATAAGCATACCTAAGTTTAAGATCAGCAATATGAATCAGAGAGAATAACATAACTTATATCAATCAAGAAAAATTTGACTTAAGTGCAGTGTTCCAAACTAGTACATTGAAAAATGTGACTTCTCAGTGAATGTTTACAATGAGTTTTTGTTTATATTAAACTGATTCAAGTTAAAAACAGCAGTAAACATTGTAACCCTATAATGATTTCTTTAAAGCTGAATCAGTCTTCAGGACAAATAGAGGTAGTCTTGTACCTACCTCAGCAGGAGGTGGGCCCTCCACCGTCATTGATACAAGATGTTCACCTCGTAATAACACAAGCCCTAAAACTCTCTTTTCTTCCCTTTCACCCTGTTTTGAACTTTTGGGCTTTATTTTCCTGAACTCATCACAATCCCCAAGGATCAAGTTCATGTGCTTATCAAAAGCTTTGAATGTTCCGATAAATGTGCGGCCATCCTGCAGGGTGCATCGCATCCTGTAGTTGATGTGCTGCAACATCTTAGAGCTACGCCCCACAGTCTGAAAACAATTGTTACATGGAATCAAATCATATAAAACTTTAAAACTGCCAAATAAGAAGCCATCTCATTTTTCAAATAGATCTACAAAACATTGCACTCTGTGCAATTACATGAATAGATGCATGACCTTACACAGAATTAATTTTTTTGAAGCACTCAATCTAGCTATACCAAATAATTAGTCTAAACCTTGTCTAAACCTTATTCGTTTTGACTTTTAGAACAATTGTAATTTATCCCTTGTAAGAAATAAATGGAGAAAGCAGAGATGCTGACGTTAGAGGAAATTCGAGCATAGTTATTAAATCACAAAAAATAAAGCTTCAGTGAAGAAATTGATCAATCTTCAACAAAATATGTATAGTAGTTGTCTTTTGAAACTACTGACAAAATGTTTATGCATTCAATTTCAGCAAAAATAAGAAAAAATGAGTTATCCACAAGCGTTGAATTTGCAAAAGGATAAGGCTTGTAAATGCGACTGACAATGTTTAAATGCGAAATTATATTGTAGTACATAGATGAAGTGATAATACAATAACTGCAAATTTATATTTCAAGTTCACTTACCATCTTGAAATCTGTCTTGAAGGCAGATTACTTCAGATTTGTGATGAGGCTAAACAAAAAACAAAGAATGGCGGCTAAACGCTGAATATTCGTTTCAGTTTGAAGCGCCACCTATCGTCGCAAAAAAAAAAAAAAGCCGAGTGCACTCGCACGCAAGATGTCCTAAAAGCAACCATAAGAAAAGTTATGCTATGATTTAAAAGTCCCTTGAAGGGAAAGTAAAATTCAATTAATAAACCGGGGTGGGGTGGGTCGGCATTTATAAGACATATATTACATTATTTTATATTCATAAATTCGTTATGATAGGCCTAATTCTTAGTATGTGGAGCGGATCAGTTGTTCTTCCCACCGGCATCGCAATTTATTCATGTTTATATAGACCCTATACATGGATCTGTATTAACATGAATGAACGAGTGAGCTTTGAATTTCGTTTTATATCAGCGCAAAGCAATCATGATAAAACAAAAATCAAACAAACCACTCCGGCATCCAGCATTTAAACAAAATTGAAAAAACAAAAAACAAACAAACAAAAAAAACAAACAATGTGATATTCACATGTACACATATTCTACAATATGTGTACATATCCCCCCCCCCCCACACTTTTTGTTATAGAATTTAGTCAAATAAGGGTTTTGTAGTAGTGTATGAATAAAATTTGAACTGAAAGAAGTTGGAACCCACCCCCACCCCCCACGAAATAGGATTTTTGAGTTTGGGCAATTTTCAATCTTCCTTTCTTTTTTTTTTTTTTTGGCTTGTCAAGTTTTTTTTTTAGGTAAGTTGAATTTTTTTTCTCTGACTGGCCCCCCAACTTTCAAAAACGATGCTATGTCCCTGCTACATTCTGCTAAAGTTCAGGCGCGGATCCAGGAATTGAAGTTACGGGGGCGCAAAAAGTAGGCAGGGGATCTGGGGGCTGCCTTGAGGTCCCCAGTGGGTCCAGGGCGAAGCCCTAGTGGCCCCCAGGGAGCGAAGCCCTCGGAAGCTCCTGGATTCTAGAGATTTTGTAGGGTAAAAATGAGGTCTACCGAGTAGACATTTTTACATTTTCTAGACGAAACTATGATTTACGCTTTGACAGTTTTTTTTTTGGGGGGGGGGGCAGGTGCGCCCCCCCCCCATTAAATCCGCCAATGTGCTTAACATTTTGAAATCAAGTTGCTTTTTTCTGGAAGACCGAAGTCCCCAGTTTACCATTGGGCTCGCAGACTCCTCTCCACATTTCCCCGTTTTTTTAATTAATTAATTACATGTAATTAATTCGTATAAGTTGAAAAACATGTGGAAGATAGAGATAATGTTCAGAAACATACATTCAAAATTGCAAAGCCCTCCCCCTCCCCGTTTCAGAGGGTAAAAATGGTGGGGTTGCCGCCATATTGCAATTTTGGTAAAGTTTGCAAATAACACGAGAAGTTATTGACTTTCCTCTGCAATGAATGAAATATCGACAGGAGATCAATAAAATAGGTACTATGTTCGCTATTTGACTTAGGCTAACCCAACATGGTAAAAAAAAAATCGGGGGGGGGGGGGGTGTAGGAGGTCATTTAATCGTAGAATTCAGAAACATGTTGATGCAAAACCCAGTATCGATCATTTGTGTCTTTCATTATTTATTATTTATTGATCATTGCATCGATTAAGTTCATCATACAGTGGATATTTTATCGACTAGAGAGGGCGCTCTGGACGTGGAGATCGATTTGTTTAAATATGGCGGCTTCAGATGCTGGATTGCGACAGAGACTGATCCCAGAATCAGAGGCGTCTGACTGGGACCCAGACCTGCCGTATGGGGGCAAAGTTTACCTGGCCAGGAAAAAGAAACCCGATCCTACCTATGTCAAAGTTATTGAGGTCGGTTTTATTTACTATGACGTTCTATAGGCCTAGAACTAAATTTCTAGTGAAGTAAGATACGTGTGTATGTCATCATAACATATGTACAAAAATGTATTTTTAAAACTACAGACCGATCCCAAAGTTCCAATAATTGCCTAAAAGACGCCATATGAACTTTTTATGCACAAAATGAATAGTTATTAATCTATCAGGGAGCTATATACATGTACTATAATATTATTATATATTAAAGACATGCCAACTGAAAGTATTTATTTCAATAAATGTTTAGAACGAAAGTACAAACTTGAATTTCTACTTGTTATTTTATACAGGCGGTAGTGTTGATTTCTACCCTGAGTTTCGCTCTTTATGCATACTACTATTTCGACCACCTCCACTTCAACGTGACGTATGGCTACGCTTGGTTGGGGTATCCAAGTGCAAATCATCAAATTGGGCAGAGGTATCTTCATGGTATGTTCTATTGCTGCAATCAAAACAAAGAAATGCATGCAAGATGATGATAATAGTTTTAGCTAAGGAAAAACCTATAATTTTTTTTTATTTTTTGGGGGGGAGGGGGGGGGCATTTCTCACCGACATAACTCGCTCTATACTCGTCTTACCGAGTTTCCTAGTGGTGGGGTCTCATGATACATTCCCCAATTTATTACGTATTGTATAATAACTCTGAAATCACAAAAGGGCGTGGAACCTCTCTTCCCACGTTGGATTCACTCATTTGCATACACAGTAATGCAACAGAACTAAATGATGTATCCTTTCATGTCTTGATAGTGAGTATTTATATATGGCCCAGGGACCGTAGTATTGAGAACCGCTAAATTATCAATATTTTATCTTGTAGGAAAAGGTGTGGAAAAGCACATAGGGAAAGCTATGGAACATTTCAAGTGAGTTTTAACATATTCCTGCAACTGTCAACAAGCTGTCACTGGTTATCTTAAATAAAATCTATATTCAAAATTTAAAATGCATGCGTTCTTGTTTTATTCACAGAAAAGCTGCTGATCAAGGCCATCCTCATGCAGCTTATAATTTAGCCATTGGTCACCTGAAGGGCTACAAGTCCGGCCTCAAACCGGGGTAAGGTTGATACAACAGTGTAATTTTTGTGTAATCAATGCAACATTACACGTATGTTTCTCCTCCATAATCTTCGCTAGCCAAAGGTTTCCGATCGGAAACCCTTGGCTAACGATGATGGTACTCCATCTGTTTCCTAAGAAATTACGTAACATATATTTGCAGAGAGGCTCACAAGCTGATTCAACACGCTGCATCTAAAGGTGTGAAAGAAGCCCATCAGGTGCTGAATGAGGTATGCTCCAGGGGTGGCTGCAAAAACTAACTACAGGACACAGGCGCACACCTCTGATGGTGGACAAGGATCAACAACGAAATAAACATTTTGGATTGACCATTCACCGAATGATAAATTAAAATATGCTGCTGTTGAATTTTTACACATTGAATATGTTGAATCTACTTCAAAGTCACTAACCATTGCATCTTGTTTTAGTAGAAGTTAATACATTTACACAATATTAATGCTTTTGTTATCGTTCGTATAAATATTCCGTCCAGCTTTGTACATGTTGATCTGCTGACAATTATATCTACCCGTCAATATACAGTACATTGTAAATATTTTATTTCCTTCAGAATAGATATATTTTTATTTCATTTGGTGTGTTATTTGCATATAAATATTTTATTGCAATAAATTATAAAAAGAATTTTAAATAATCATTTTATTTCTGCAGTCTATTTCTTGTCTATATATAGCAGTGCTCAGCTTTTTACCTAATTTCGTCTCTTGAGTTCAGTGCGCAGTAAATGTCTACACGCAAAAAACTCCACGAGACGTTATGAGTGATTTTAATGTGTTCGAATTGAATACGTAGTATACATTTCATTAAAACTTTTTTTTACACACGGTTATTTTTTTTTTTAATTAAATTACTTCTTTATTTTGTTTTTGTTGTAGCGATAAATTTTATATAAACCTATTGCCCCAAAGCGTTGTTTTGTTTTATGGTCTTCCGGTGTCACAAATTCATACATTAAACTATTGATTTTTTTGGGGGGTGGTGGCTGGGGTGGGGTTAGGGTTGAGTAATTTCACATATTTACTCATATTACTAGTGTATTCAATTTCTGAAAAGCAGGAAGTCGGCACAGTGCCAAAGGTTGAAATTTAAGAACTTTTTTTTTTTTTAAAGAATTTTGAAATCTTTCGAAAAGTTAACATTCAGTCTCTTCTAAGCACCTGACCAACCATCTTCGCTAGCCAAGGGTTTCTGATACGCTACTCTCCTCATAAGTTTATGAGGAGAGTAGCGTATCAGAAACCCTTGGCTAGCGAAGATGCTGACCAACAAGAATATGAGGCTAGGAACGGTGTACCAGTAGAAATCACGGTTACAACGGGAACGGACCTATGCAGAGTAGTTTTCTATTCGGGATCGGCATTCAAGGTTCTGCCACTGACTCATAACCGGATACCTTCAGTGCGCATGTTCGAGACACCGTAGCAACAAACTTTTGACAAGAACCTGCTGGTCACATAAACACAATGGTAAGCCACAACAACAGCGGTTTCTTTTCTGTTTAAGTCGAATTTGTTTAATTATTAATGCAAACCTTAATACTTTGTTAATTATTAGGCTTTGTTCCCTGTTTAACGCATAAAACATGGATGGTTTGCTAGGTTTTCTCTCTTTTTTTTTTAATCCATTGGACTCTTACCATGTCTCATGGATCTAAAAAATGCTCATATTTTCAAGAAACGTTATCTCATGAACTTGAAAAACAACAGTTAATATTAATTACATGATATTGATAAGTAATAGAAATTTGGGAATCAGAAATATAGTCAATGAAACATAGTTTTAAAAAACCATGTTGCTCATGTATTTATATACACATGATTAGGAAATGTGACATAAACTGATTAAATATGAATATTCTGTAATAGCTAAATGCAGTTATATGAATTTTGTGGTGAATTGTTGGGTGTAATTATAGAAATGAACTGTAGTGGTAGATGTATTGAGTTTTTATTCATTTGTACTGTGTATGTAATTACAGGCTGAAGTTGAGGAAACTTTCAAAAGGATCCAGGCCCACAAAGGTGTCATTGGACTGATTGTGGTTAATTCAGAAGGTATAGCTTAAGCAGAGTTTTTTTTTTTTTTTAATAATTATTCAATAAATTTTGAATTTGGGCCATCTGTAATAAAATGTTTGTCTGTCATCTCCAGACTCAAGATATAAAAATGAGTAGGCAAGTAGGGATAGATTTTTTTCCTTAAAAAAAATTACAAAAATCAAATTTAAGTAGTTTCTGACGGGATGAGAAAAATTCTTAATTATAACAAAAATCATATATAGTCATTAGTTGAGACAGGGCAAACAGACAGTTTTATTTTAAAGATAGCCTGGTAAAAATGATCTTACATCTTTAGTTTGTAGAAGAGAAAGCAATATTTATATTACATGAATTAGATTTAAAAATAGTGTAGGAAGCATGTTTACATTTATGCTTGGTGTATTGAATAATTCTTGTAAAATAATACTTTCACAGGAATCCCCATTAGAAGTACATTAGATAACTCAACGACAGTCCAGTATGCGGGTCTGATTAGTCAGTTAGCAGCCAAAGCAAGGAGCACAGTTAGAGATATTGACCCAGGCAATGACCTGACATTCCTTAGGATAAGATCAAAGAAGCATGAGATTATGGTTGCCCCAGGTCAGTTTGAAATTTATATTTATTGTTTCAGTTGTGGCTGCCTGGTTGTTTCATATTGTGTTGGCATGATGGGTGTTGGTTGCTATGGTTATCTGTGCAATTTTGAGGGAGGTATGGTAATTTGATGAAGAGAGGAAAGTGAAGATTCTTTCTGACAAAGATTTCCTACATAATTTTTACCAAGATTGAAATATGAACCATGAACACTTTACCTGTTTGGGGGGGAAGGGGTTTTTAGAATTTGATTTGACATTACCTTCTACTTAAAAGCTTGCACTTATGTTTAATCCATTCAGAACTATTAAGAAGCATAAAAATGTGTATCCTGTTTACTTTAGTGTATGTCATAATAAGTGCTTGGGTGTCAAAAATTTCCCAGGAACTCCATTACATCAGTGCTTAATAGGTTAAGCCCAGCTGAGGTTCATATCCACTCACTTAAGCCCAGCTGAGGTTCATATCCATTTACTGTACTTATTAAGCCAGCTGAGGTTCATATCAACTTACTTAAGCCAAGCTGAGGTTCATATCTATTTACTTAAGCCCAGCTGAGGTTCATATCCACTTACTTAAGCCCACCTGAGGTTCATTTCCACTTACATAAGTCTACTTACATTTGGTAATTCACCATAAAAGTGTTCTATTGCTGATAATATTTTGTCCCATGATACAGCATTAGGTGATTTCCTCTGGAATAACTTAGCCTTGCCCAAACAACCTAGGAAACCACATTCATACATATGAATAGGATTTCATCACATGATGAGCAGAAACATTTGACATTGATACTTCTTTCACATTTTAAAGCCTTTTCATTTTAAAAATTAGCACTGACACATTTTTTAGCATGTTTTAGAGTGAGAAGTGTGTTTGTATTTTGGTTGTAGCATTTAGAAAGGCTTTGCAAGGTTTGATTGCTTAAAACTTGAAAGCACTTGGTGTAATATAAACATTGAATGCACACATCGTAGATTTCATCCAGAATTGTAAAGACGGAAACAATTTCTGCAAATATTTTTTTTTCAAGTTTTACTTAGCACCATAAAAAGCACTTAAAAGGTTGGACTATCCAAAAATATGATAAATTTTATCACACATTGTCTCACAGCAATACATTTATTTGTTAGAAGCAGCTAGTGTGTTTTGACTGGTGAAGGTCTGTTGCTGTATAGTGCTCTAGTTTTTTGTGAATATTAATAAATATTTAAATGCTTTAAAGTATTCCTAAAAGTAATTTGCATTAAATAAGTTGAAAGTAATTATAAATGCCATTGTGAAGAAAATTCATATTGTGACATTAGTTAGAAAGCATATTAACCAACTTCCACTTTGGGCAAATTATCAGGTATAACTACTTATTTTTACATTATATTCACTTTTTTATAAAGTCAAACACATTCAATATATCTTTTTGTTCTCTTCTTTTCAAACAGAAAATGAATATTTGTTGATAGTAATCCAGAACCCAGATGCCGTGTAATTGAGTTATTTCCCTTTGGATGTTCATCACCAACATATCTGGTACAAAGAAATTGATTCAGTGTTTCACATTGTTTATACTATGGGTAAAGACAGCAAATATTCTTTCTATTTTTTTACCTCTGCTGTTGAGTGAAATTACAACAGATTCTTGAAAATTTAAGCTTGAAAATCTGGAGAGAGAGAAAAACAACTCTTGCAGTCTTTACTCCGAGTATTTGTTGATTGTGGAGCAGGCCTGATTTCATCCATATAGCATTACACTTTAGCTTGAACTGACTGAATTATTCTATAAGTTGTTTTAAGCAACATAGAACATGATCCCCTAACCAGTAGAAGCCAGATATGCAATATGAAAAGTGCTATATCTTCAGAAAGTGCAAAGAGTGTTGTGAAAGCATAGAATAGTCCTATTGGAATAAATACTCAGTAATTTTGCAGATAATTTTGCTCATTCTCAAAAATCTGATACGTTGCCCTTTCGTCTTTTGCTTTGCATTCACTAGAAACCCTTCTCTTGTTTGGCTTCAACTGCTTTGATATTTTAAGAGTAGGAAAAAAACACTAGTCAAATGGTTTGAATCTTAATTACATTAAAGATCAAGTAAATTTTTGTGATGATAGATTTATTTTGTTTTTTTTTTTGTCTTATCTTAAAAAGAAAAAAAATACATCTCAAGACTGTAGTATCATATCTATCTATAAGATTTACCCAATGGTGTTGTGGCATCTTTAGCTTCCCTGAAACCTTAAGCTAATCCTTAGCTTATTTAGCAGTCCAAGTTTTGTATTTACTGTTTTAAAAATAAAGAAAATTAAACAAAGAACTATATATATGTATACACAAGCAACTATTGATTAAAGCTTACCTTTAACAGAAAAACATACGAGCATTTTATAAATCAACTAACATTTTTTTGTTATTTTAACCCTTCCTAGTAATAGCAAAATATTTCGTTGAGTGTTTGTTGTATCTAGATACATAGAATGCTTGTCAATGTGAGGAATGGAAGATTGAGAACAAAATCAAGGGGACTCATAAATTAATATTGAATACTTCTTTCTCTTTAGCTTTAAAAGTTTATATAAGAATTTGTATTTGTGATAATGGTATGGATGAAAACTATCTTTTTGCACAAGGAATTTATTCAATTCAAAATTGAATAGCTCATGTGAGTCAATTTATTGATATATGTACCAGGGGAACTATTTACAGAGCACAGTTGAACTTTGGTATCTCCAACACCACTATCTTGAATACCATGGATATGTGGAAATGATTTGGAAGTCCCAACCAAATATTTGTTTAGTATTTACCCATGATATCTGGAATCCTCAGATATCTCAAAGGTTTTTTCTTGGTCAGATGGAGTTGGAGATAATGAGGTTTGACTGTATATACATGTACATGTATGGATGCCATATGCATCTTTTTTTTTTCAAGAAATAAACTAAAATAGTTTTCTTTTTTTCTGTGCATTTCAGATGTAATGGTCATTTGTT